TCCCAGAATTTATTGCGATAAATGATATTATTGTTATTTTGAGACTGTTTTCAAGTACTATAATAGTAATAATGCAAAAACACTTTCTCAGAGGTCAATAAACATGAAATTGAAAGGTCAATAAACATTTAAAACTGGAACTGGAAGACATTTTAAATAAACAAAATAAATAAACAAAACAACAGAAACAACCAACCAAATAAAGAGAAAAGTCCCTGCAAACAAAATTATTCTTCAAACAAAGGCCAGAACAACAGACTGAAGACATTTATCATAAAATTTTTTGGTAGAAAGAGAGAAAAGATAAACCAAGAAAAGGGAAATTATTGAGTTTGTTTTAATTTATCATACAATTAAATGATTTATTGCTTATTGCAACAGGCCTATTCGTAAATATGGAAATAACTGCAACGAGCACATGAAGCTCTTTTCAACCTGGAGAAAACAACATTAGCAGTAATATTAATATCTGTGCAACTTTGGCAGCACTGAAATCCAAGATTATTGATGGAAAACTAAACTTCTTTAAATGTTTTCCCATTTACTAAGATCCTTTAATCTTACTTTGTGGAAATAGGATTTATTCTGCAACTCAGCGGCCCTTAAACGTGCGGCTGAGGAAACTCAGCGTTGGGAAATACACACCTCACTCATTAAATCTCCACATTAAGCCAATTAGCAGCACATTTGAGTAAATATTTTGGAGCTTTTCTAAGTTTTTATAGAAAATAGAAAAATGTTCTCATGCAGCCGTTCACAAATGACAGAAATAAAAACATTTATTAAAATAAACGGAACTGAAACTGATGTGTCTCATAAACAAACAAATTAGTATCATTTTCCTTCCCTTAGTGTAAGATCACCACATGCTAGAGGTAGTATATGTCAATAAATGGCTGTTTGTGTAAAACGATGACGATTAGGTAGAAACACAGAACGTAATTAAAAACAGAGATAATTATGTACCGTCAGCTGAGTCACAATCTCTTCTGAACGTTTTATTTACCAGATAGGAGATTATCTGCTGGTTGAATGTGGTTCTTTCAGAGGACATGGATGTGTTTTTCAGTAAAGGTGAAGGTAAAGCTAACTTTGAGGCTAACATTTAGCCAGCAGGGCTGCTGAAGAACAAAGAGATGCTTATTTAGACTGTGAGAACTGTTCCTACAACTCAAACAGCAACAAATGGCAAACACTACGAGTCAGGAAATAAACCAGAAATGTCCCGATTAGGACGATTTTGTTGACGTTGATCAAGTCATTTTAGATCTGGCACTCGCTGGCACTGACTCCCAAAAGATGTAATAAATAGAAAGTCAAGTATGAGCTTGAAAAAGAAACATAAAGAGCAACAGGTATTTTGTCCCAACAGGAGTTTCTGCAGTTGAATATTTTACTGGGTTAGTGACTCCAAATCAAAGAACATCTAAAAGCGATCATATTTCCCCTCCTCCAGCTCATTTTCTTCTTCTACTACTCTCCTATTTGCATTATTTGCTGTTATTTCAACTCTTAACTTTATGTTTTCTCTTAGGTTTTGTTTTCTCCATAAAAGCTACACCTTGTCTGGCAACGATCTAAAGGCTGCGATTATTTTAGTTATTGATCAATTATTCTGATGATTAATTGGTTAATATTCTACAGATTTTTCATCTTACTGCTTAAATTTACTTTAAAAAAAATAATCCATTTAAACTAGCAAATAAACATATAATTCAGTTACGTTTTGAAATAAAAACACATTACCACACCTAAAATGCAGTAACAGCCTTCCTTTAGAGAACGATTGATCATTTATAGCTGCAGATGCAGCTAAAATAATCCTTCCAACATCAACATGTGAAAAGCTCAGACATCATCAGTACAGTGTAGGCCTGACCTTGTGATCATTCTTTGATTAACTGAATAATTGGATAGCAAAGGTCATTAACAAGAGTTTTTTAGTTTTACATGATTTAAATCAGACGGAGCTAAAACTATTTTTCATCTTAAATGTTAAATGTATATATTTTTTGTACAGTTTTGGCTTAATTACTGCTCTGAATATTATGTTCCTGTGTTCAAACTGCCTTTTTGGAGTCTGTATACATCGTTAACAATTAATTGGTTATTTAAATAATCGTCAACTAATTTATTAATCGATTAATCACAATGAATCTGATTAATCGTTTCAGCCCTTGTAGTAGAATTGGCAGCAGCGAAGGGCTCATTTTTACAAAATGCCCAGCTACGGTGGCTAGTGAAGTCCAAAAATGTGTATTTCCTATCGAAAAGAGAAAACCACACAAATGGAAACTACTGAGTTTGTTTTAATTTATCATGAAATTAACTGATTTATTGTTTCTCGCGACAGGCCTAGTTGGAAGTTACCAACATTTTAAAGCATGAAGTTTACAAAGCTGACATTAAACAAGACGACAAACAGCAACCATGTCTTCTAGTGAAGCTTTGACCTTTTTTTTTTAATAAACCTGTGCAGGAAACCGCAAAAGCTATAATACACAAACATGGGAGGGTGCATCTTGATTTTGTTTTATTAAGACCATTTTCAGCCAACAGACTCAGATTCAAACGAGTGCAAACCAAACGGACCAAGTTCAGACAGCAAAGGGCTTAATCTCATTAATCATGAATGCGGCACATGTAGTTAAAAGATTAGCCTAAATGTCAGTAGACAAGCATGCAGACTCATTACGTCGAGCCTTCAGCCCCGTTTGTTCCAGCGGCCTCAGAACAACACAGACACACTGAGCCGCTTCGCAGCCTTAATGTATGAATACACAACACTGAGAACCAAAACATACAAATCCTTTACAGCACTTCAAAGAAGAGCCCTTAGTCAAACACTTGGGCGGCTGAAAAGAGGAGCTTTCATTGCAACAAACACACACAGCTGCTCCAACGCCAAACAGATTCACTTTGAAATCCTGCAAAAATGTTTTCTGGTCCTTAACTGACATCAGAAATCATTTTATTTAACAGTCAGAAGTCAGACAATAAAATGTGGGAAAGTTAAATGGGAGTTTGGTGTCACATTTAAGGCAGATTTACATTAATCAGGATCAGTGGCTACCTAGAAAAATGGTCTCAATATGGTCTGTTAAATAAATGTATGTTTTTATTTTGCTGTAAATTTGCCCTTACTTTACCGTTTACTATTCTTACTTTCTGTTTTTATAGTTTCGATTGAACTGCAACAATCAACTATTTAACTATTTGGTTGTTTGAACAATTAATCGATTATTCATCGAATAAAAAACTGGCACATTCAGCAGATTTTACATTCAACTACTTTCACCTCTTTTAATACAATATTAGAAATTCCTTGAAAGATGCAAATAATTCCTTTTTCAAAATAAGAAAATGAACAATTTATTGCCTAAAATGCAATAACATAGCATTCCTTTAGTGCACGCTTGATCCTTTGTTGGTTAATTGATTAATTTTTGGATTAATTGGTTAATAGTTGGAGAGCAAAAGGTTCTTAATAGGATTTTTACAGAATTTTAATCAGGTGGACCTAAAAGTGCCAATTGATGAGTTGTAGGTTTACAGACAATGAAGGTTTTTTTCTTTTTTTAATGTGAAATGTATATTTGTACATATTTGGCTTAATTGTTGCTCTAGGAGTGTTCTTCTGCAAGATTGCCTTCTTCTGAGTCTACTAAAGAAAAACAGCCAGTTAATGATTAATCACTAAATTAGATTAAATTTCAATAATTGATTAATCACAATTAATCATTTCAGCCCTAAATTTTTCACCTGAATTTCCCCATTGAGGGACAATAAACTTGATTTCTATTCTTCCATGTAATTCTATCAATTGCTTTTTAAATAATAGTCATGTTTATTCTGTTTGAAATAATACAAATAAAGCTCTTAACTTTTTTTTAAAACATTTGATCTTTCTTCCAAAGTTTATATATAAAACTGCAGATCAGAAACAAACACTAGAAGTTTGAAAATGTCTGAATCCAACAAGTTCGTTGACCTTAACACAAGGATGAGCAGAGGAAACTTTTCCTGTTTAATTCCTGATTTGAAGCAGAAATTAAGCATTTATTTCCACTTATTAGCTAAACTGCAAACTAATTTGTCATTTAGTGTAATTTCACACCAAATAACAAACAAAGAGAAAACTTGTCAGTGAGCAGAGACGGATAAAATCAGGATTACAGAGGGGGAACGACTTTATATCTGAGAAAATCGACTTGAACCGACACAAGGTATTTTAACTGATTTTAGTGCAAATAGTTCAGCTGCAGACTCGAGTTAAACATTTAAACTGCATCACTGTCTGACTTTGCTGCACATCGAATGGACTCGTTCTCCGACGGCGTGGATCTGACGCGGCAGAGCGGCGAGCTGAACACATTATTCTGGATTAAATGAGGAATCAAAGCCAAGCTTCATCTGCCAGGGGATCACTGACTCTGGACTAAACAGTGACTTTAAGCTTTTCAATCTACTTAAGTTGTATAATTTACAATTTGATGCTTTGGAAATATGGAAGATTTAGGCTAATTGTACAACTAGTTTCTTTTTTGTAAGTATTGCTAACATGATCTGTTGGAATACTTTAAAAAATGCAATTTTTGCAACGTTCTGCTTATAAATATATAATGAACTGAGAAAAATGATCAGAAATGACTGAAAAAGATCAAGATTCATCATATAATTAAGAGCTAATATAATGAAACATCTGAACATGTTTGAAAATGTCAAGAAATTATATTTCCTCGCGTTTGAATTAGCCCAACAGTTTCCATAACGCTTCCTGTGCCTTGACCAGTCAAAGTGCCTGAATGCGTTGCCGTAGCAACGATCTGCTCTTATGTATTGTTGAAAAATATGTCCGTGCAACGCAGGTCAAAAAAAGGCAGGTCAGTCGACAAGTACAACAATTTTAAGGTCAACGTCGGATAATATTAGAAACGTCGGTAATCTCCGACGTTTTTTCACGAACAGTTCAGAGTAGAGCAGGGTTTGATGTCGCTCACCTTCTGAAGGCTGGTTGGGTTCAGTTGGGTTTTATCGATGATCTTTATGGCAACCTGCAAAACAGCGACAGAAAATGTACAACATTCTTAAAATTAACTGTCATGTTTACTCTTTTTAAATGTTGCTTTTCTTAAAGTGTGTCAACTTTTTTTTATCACTTCAATCTTTTTAATTTTTCAATCCCAAATGTCAACAAACACTAAAAGGTTATCAACACAATGAAAAGCCAAAGTGGGAAATGAATTTTTAATTAGCTTAAGTTTTAGCTCCAAACTAAATATTTAGCTTTAAATTAAATACATAGCTTCAAACTATTTAATTTGAAGCTGAATAATGACCTTGCTCAATAAATATTTATTTCAAAGCTATATATTTATCTTAAAACCAAACATTTTGCCTGAAAACTAAATATTGTTATGCTAAATGTTTAGCCAGCAAATATTTATTTAGCGACTAAATATTTAGTTTGAAGCTAAATATTTATCTTAATAAATAAATATTTATTTTGAAGCTATATATTTATATTCAAACTAAATATTTAGTATGAAGCTAAATATGTGTTTTCTGAGACTCAATTTCCATCAGCTGTATGCCATATTAATCAAAATAAACGTCTAGATATGTCACTGCGTAATTTATATACATATATTCACAGTGAGTTTCACTTCTGAATTTAATTCCTGAAACAAAATAAACTTTTCTGATATTCTGGTTTACTGACATGCATCTGCAGTTTGATGGATTTATGTTTACATTTTTAAACTGGGCTGTAAAATTAAGTTCCTGAATTATACATGAAGAGATTACCTTATTCAGTACTCAAGCGAAACAATAAAAGAGGACAAAGTTCAAGACGTACTGTTTTACAGCATGTTTATGATGCTAAAAGCTGCAATCAACAAAAATAACCCAGAAGCCCTGAAAAGAGGCGGCGGCCCGGTTCAAGACCACATCAGGCCCTCAGCTGTAAACCGACTATACGACTGACTTTTGCTTTATTTGAGTGGGAAACTGCAGCTTTTCACATGACCAGGCCGTGTGGAGCTTCCTGAGCCTCAAGGTATCGGTTCAACCGATGTGGGTCAGCGGGTTTTATGAGAAGAAAGACGTCTGTTTAAAGGCGACTCGCCTGTTCAAAGAGCGCAAAGCCTCAATTCTGCTGCAGGGTTTTTATCAACTCGTGGGTGAAATGCTTCCTCCAGAGCGATAAAGAGAGCTTTCTCTCGAGTTCTCGTTTGGCTCACCTCTCTGCCCGTCAGAATGTGGCGGGCCAGCTTGACTTTGGCGAAGTTGCCCTTGCCGATGGTTTTCAGCAGTCGGTAGTTCCCGATGTGCGGCAGCTCGTCCGAACACAGGGCGATGGAGTTTCGACAGCGGGCGCCGAGCGAGCGGCTCGACCAACCCGTACCTTTATCCGAGCGGCTGGCCGACAGGGAGGCATGCTGCGGCAAGAAGGGGGATCGGTCAATCATCAATCAATCAATCAATGTACGGCACAACGCAGCATGCCAGCTGCGTTGTGCTTTACGTTATCAAAACACAAAAATACAAAGTCGTGACAGACACCATATTAATCAATTTCATTTTGTTGAGACACCAGTTGACTAAGTTCTGTGTTTTGTTTTTGTTTTGAATGCATATTTTTTTAATGTATAGCTACACGTTTGCGTTTGTTTGGTTATTTGATTTCTATTGCTGCTATTCATCCTATTATCTGGTTAATTATTCTGTAGATCAATAAAAAAAGAAGAAATAAATATCTGCGTATGTAAATAAAAAAAAACATTAAATTTTACCAGTTGGCATCATTACACATCAAAATATTGAGCAATATTGATCAATATTGCATTTGTAATGTTTCAAAATAAACTCCAAACACCTGGATTTTTTAGTCTCGAGTTATAGGAGCTCAGTGTTTCAACCGTTTTGCAGTTTTCTGGAAGATTGTTCCAGATTTGTGGTGCATAGAAGCTGAATGCTGCTTCTGCATGTTTGGTTCTGGTTCTGGGGATGCAGAGCAGAACCAGAACCAGAAGACCTGAGGGGTCTGGAAGGTTGCTATGACAACAGCAGATCTTTAAGCCGTTCGGTGGTTTATAAACTACTCTTTATTTAAATAAAATCTGAAATGATTGATCTACAGCAACGAACATGACGGATTTGCTGTGCAAGCAGACATTTTTAGAGTCTAATTTTCTGATTTGTTTCGGTTGCAGCCAACGTTCTCTGGTTATACGTGACCGCATCCCTTCACCAGAACCGTCAAAGACCTCGGGACTCCGGTTCTGCAGTCAAGTGGTTACAGAACCGACTGTAACCGGGTCACCTTGGTGCATCTCATGTGATGCTCATAGTTCACATTCTTCACATTCATGACTTGCTGCAAGGTCACCAACATTCAGCCGGATGATGCCGATCCACTCAACCAGACGCACCAATCAAAGCTCTGACTCTTGTTGAGATCTGGGACGTCCCCTGGGACTGCAACATTAATAATTATGTTTAAAAGGGTTTGAAAACCTTCTTTTATCTGTGACAAAACAAGAATGAAGAAAATGAACAGAAATGTAGGATGTGGGATTTCACGACTAACAAGGAAGTGAAAACGTAAAGGAAGCTCCAGCGTCTCAGATAATTACTGAAACAATTAAGCACAACGGTCAGGGGTTGAGAAAACCAGGACATTTTACATTTCTGTCACTGTCAGCGTTTGAACGGTTCACTTTCACAAAGTGGCGGTATTTCATTTCAGCCAGTTCCTGACAGATAAAACACTTCAGGCCACTGACAGATTGTGATTTACAGTTTCCTTCCAAGCAGCGTCACTATTTTTAGATCCTTCACATCTCAGTGGTGAAGGTTTTTTTAGACTAAAAGTTATGGAGGACAGATTCTGCCAAAATTGGATATAACCACTTAATTTAATTTCTTCATTTCCTCCCTATTCCTCCTTTCAACTTCATTTTTTCCAAAAATTATGAAGAAACCAGGAGGACAATAAAAAATGTTTTTGAAGGTTTTTCTAGATCAAAATCTATGGAGGACAGATTCCGCCAAAATTGGCAATAAATGTAGAAGTAAATTTTCTCCATTCCCTCCCCATTTTTCTTTTCTACTTTATTTCTTCCAAAGATTTAGAAGATAACATAAGGAACATTTAACAAAAACTGCAAAGAGAAAATGTTACAGAAAATCAATGCATAATAAAATAATTATGATAAATTAATTTTTTTAAATAAATACAGAATAGAGAAAATATTAAGCAAAATAAATAATGAAATAAAATGTGACTATAGGTAAAAAATTAGCAAAACGTAAATACAGAATATTAGCAAATGAAGGAATTAAAAGGAGATTAAATACTGATAGTTTTATATTAACACTTAAATATTAAAATATGTCACATTATGTCATCAAATAAGTTTTGAAATATCTCATTTTCTATTTGGATGCTACACTTTGCCATTTATTTATTTATACATTTATCCCCTATTTTGGCAGTGTCCGTCTTCCATAGTTCTAAATAATTGTTTTATATTAATACTTGCAGCTCAGAGCCAAATATTTTTGCGTCTTACCCGGTTATTGTGATCCACTGTTAAATGTGACAATCTGTTTCTATATTACGATTCTTGTTACTCTACAAGATATTCCAGCCATGTTAAACTATATAAACTGAAGTGAATATGTTGAAAATAACTGACCTGGGGAACTTTAAGCTAGTGAAAATGTTTGTTAGGACAACTATTAGAAATGTAGAGACTGATTGCCTTTGTTCTTTGTCTATATTATCCAGGCACCTTCATTTTCACCCCTCCTTACCCTCTGCCCCCCTCTCCTTTTCCGCCACGGCTCTTCCCATCCCCCAGACAAATCAATTTTCATCCTTTCCCTCCATTCTCCTTTTCTCTGCCCAGACACGCCCTTTCTTTTGTCTCCAGCTGCTATCTTCATTTTCAGCAAACTCCCATAAATTCGGGGCTCCATCGATTCACTTCTTCTGATTAACATACGATTTCTTCACTTGGAGGTGTGGTCTGACTGCCTCAGAGGCCGGAGAACTGAGTCAGAAAACAAATTAGGGTGTGAGCCTGTGGGATAACCCCCCCAGTAATCATTATAAATGTGATAGGACGCTCGTTCAGAAGATGGATGGCGCCAAGTGTTTGGGTGGAGGTGGAGGTTGCTGTTCGGATGCAATTTGCACATTCAGCAAAGCTGCTGCTGCTGCTGCTGCTGCTGCTGCACACCTTGACCTTGGAAACTGAGCGATCACGTCACCCTGCCGGCGCTGGCAGGAGCTGATGGGAAGAGTTCAGACAGCAAATAATGTTGCAATAATTACTATTTTAAAGATAAATTCTTCAATTATTATTGCCGTTTTATTTATTATTTTATTATTTTAAAAATACATTTCTAATTAATTTAATTTTCCATTATGCAAACACCACATTTTGCAAGTTTTTCTACTTCCATTTGGGTCTAAACTGCTTCTTAAAGCAGCCCAAGAGTTTTTTTATTATTTAAAAAACACCACCGAGCTGTTTTTGTTCTTTTTAGCAATAACTTCATATTTTCTAGAAAATGAGCCGTTTCAAAAGCCTCCCAAACATTAGGTCTCAATCAACAGGCATGACACCGTTACCTAGCAACCCCAGTGGAACTCCGTCCGTTACCTAGCAACCCCAGTGGAACTCCGTCCGTTACCTAGCAACCCCAGTGGAACTCTGTCCGCTACCTAGCAACTCCAGTGGAACTCCGTCCGCTACTTAGCAACCCCAGTGGAACTCCGTCCGTTACCTAGCAACCTCAGTGGAACTCCGTCCGCTACTTAGCAACCCAGCACGTTTGGTCAGCTGGTTTGAATGCGCTGTACGATGCCTGCTGGAAGAGACAGGTGTTTTCTTGTTGACTTGTCACTCATTACATAGCTGTTTGCTTCATTATTCAATCAGCGTTTTTCTTTAAATATTGAACATCTTTTCACACTGACCAGTCCATCCAGGATTTTGTGATTGTTTTTTGGGGGATTTTTGTAATAAAAAATCACAGATTTTGTGGCACTAATTTGGAAAAATTTGTGAGTAATTTTTATGATGTTTGCACTAATGTATGATGTTATATGTGACTTTTTATTAATCGCTGTATTGGTTATGGACTAGTATAACGCGACATCAAGTAAACCTGCGGCAGCAGTCTTAAACTCAATGTTTTTGGCCAATTTTTAGAAAAATTTGAAGTAAAAATCAGAAATAATATGAGGCTCTGTTTGTGAATTTGTGAAAAACTGGAGGGACGTATTGATGTAATTTGGAGGGCCACATTAAACGCTGCCGTGGGCCAGATTTGGCCCCTGTGCCTCATGTTTGACACGTGTGCCATAGACCTATCCCAACCTCTTCACGGAAGCAAAACAGTTTGCCTTTAACAGTCAAGTTTCCTGTAGAACCGATCATCTAAACCATTAGAGGTTTAGTTAAACTTGTTAGAGGGTAACAGAGGCCGCGGCTCCACATCGGGGTTTAGTCAAATTCCTGTGTGACGGTGGAAAAACATCCAGACGTCATTTCAACAATAATAAAAGCGAGTTGTTGACAGAAGGCCGGCCCCGCCTCTTTTTCTTCTCTGAACTTTTGAACTCTGAGCTTGATCTTAAATCAGCAGAAAAGAAGAGAAGAGAAAGATGTTTTGGAATTTGAATCCAACATTTCGCTTACAGCATCGGAAAAATGTTTCATTTAAGTGAAATAGTCTTTCCTCTGCCTACAACCCCCAGAATGCTGTGCGGTTGTGGATCGGAGTTCATTGAATTTTCTATCGCAATTTATACTGTTATTGATTTATTGTCCAGCCCTAATAGAGGAGATTAAATATTTCAGTTTATTAAAACACAGAATCAGGTTTCAGTCGTCTTTGTTAGCAACAAATTACATAACATTCCTAACCTGCCTAACCAAAGCCATTAACTCAAACATGCGGCTGCATTGTTGTGAAATGCAGATTTGCATGTGTTGCAACGCTTTCTACTGGCTGTGTGGCGTGAAACTGAATAAAACACGTCCAAATGGATAAATGCAAACTCAGGAATCGACTCAGGTTTTCCATTGTTGACATGAACTATCAGGATCAGATAACTTTAAGAATGTATGACGATTATTACGTCATTTCCTCTTTTGCAGTCCAACTCATAAATAACTCTGCACAGGTCTCTGCAGCCAAAGAAATGCAAATCTGATTTTCTAGGCTTATCTGTAGGAACTGCAATGCTATTTAAGGACGCTACCTGTGACAAGCACAAACAAGTTTTCAAGCTCTTGCCCACATGGAGGCGATCTGAATGCACAGCAGCTACGCAAGTAGTTTGTGAATTGATGTGAAAGTCTTGAGCAAAGACAGGATGTGTGATGTCGGTGCCCCTGTGGCGTAATCCTCCGTCCTCAAA